GTGTGTGTGTGTGTGTGTGTGTGTGTGTGTGTGTTAACGTAGGTGATAAATGCGCGCGTCTTAACTTGTTAGTTTTGTTGGGAATAAAGAATTGAATTGAAATGATCTCTATGATTGGACTTGGTTCATTATGTTTAGTTTATCATTTTATATTTCAATCATAACAATAATATATAATAATCATCAAGAAATGAATGAGATCTTTTTCACTTTTTTTTTCTAGTGAAACTAAAGATAGATGGAATTATGGGAGAAGATGAAACTGAAACATACAAATGAGATAATTGCGCCAGTTAGTGTGCATAGATAGACATAAGCTCACACGTATTCACACGCATACATGTATATACCATAAAGACACACACACACACTCACACACACACACACATTGGATATGTATATGCATACACACACACACACATATATATATATATATACATATAGAAAGGCACGGACGCACGCATTCACACATAAATTCATCCCACATAGGCTATGTGTTATTTCAACCAGTAGGATGGATAATATTATTGGGATGGAAGAAAGCATGATGATGATGATGATAATGATGATATTTATTTTAATCATTTGGTAATGGTAATAGTTTGTTGCATGTTGGATCCTTTTTTTTTGAATGTTAATTCTATTCTGATCTGCAATCATTTTATTTATTATTATTTATCTATTAACAGTATTCGTTATTTGAGTTAATCTTTTTAGATTTTATCTAATAAAAAGGAAGAACAGGAAAAAAATTGATTACATTTTATTTATTTTTTAAAGATTACATATTATTATATTCTTTTCTTTCATTTCAAATGTTGTTATTATTTATTATTTCATAATTTTGAAAATTGCGTTTCTGTTTTTTTTTACAATGATTTTACATGTGTTATATCAGAATAATTTATTCTTCGATTTTTGTTTTTGTTCGTATTTTTGTTTGAAAACATTTCATCCTGATATCTACTATCCATTTTTATCTCTATTTTTTTAATATCTGCCATCCATTTTAGGCTTCACAATTCGAAAACAAACAGGAAAAGTGGATAACTCAAAGCGCGGCATTTTGAAACGGTACATTTGAAATTATCAAATTTCTAGACTGATAGTGAATTCTGATGGTGCTGATGAGCGGCATAATCCTCCTTCATCTTCCTGCCTTTACAGTGTCAAATACCAAGTTTTTTCATTTAAATTGCCGCATTTTGATATTCACTATTTTCAATTTCTTCGGTTGTCATTAATTATTGTGATCTGTGAGGGAGTTAGGCAAATCAGTTTTATGCTTTTTCATTCTGGAATGAATACAGTTGTTTTGAGATAGTAGCAGAGAGATTGGTGTCGCGAATTTTGAAATTTTATTGGTGACATGGTTTTCCGGATTAAAATGAGCTCAAAGTATTAATTAGTTTTGCAGATAAACAAGTTAAATCACTAAATTTACTTAACGTCTCAGGGCGAGAGCAGCAATGTCTACATCCTCGGTGATATCTGGTAGCGGTAGCACTAAATCGACTGGATGTCGCTCAATTGTTATTGCTCCACCCATAGTACCGTCACAGTACAATGCAAAAAATGCTGGTAGAAAGAAGACAAATCCGGTTTGTTTCTTCAAGAGAACACAATTTCCGGAGTGTGAACATTTCACTCGTATTTTATTCAGATTTTTTTGAACATTTTTAGATTCCAAATTAACATATTTTTTGCACTCCATCTGAGGTGTGTCAGAATTGTTTAGCCGTTCAGGATAGATGTCAATCATGGACGGTCTCCTTAAAGAGACCAGAAATATGAACCATTGTACCAGTCTAATATCTGCAGGTTGACTGGGGAAATGGTGATGGTTCCGATCCGTAACTGGCTAACATTCCACAACTTTGATGGCTTATTTAAAGCTTTTGGCAATATGTCGACAATAGCTGTTGCCATTGTGGAAATGCGGAGATTTGAGAAATCATTATTGGCCGTACATTAAGGTTTGGAACTTTTTCGTGGATCTGAAAACGAAAGGACTGACTGGTGTACGATGCCGTTATTGCGAATGGATAACAAATGACCGCAGTCCAACAACGCTGAAATTTCACTTAAAACGTAAACACGACACAGGCCTTGGTGGTATTTGGAACATTGTGGAAGAACGAATTGGCATTAATCAGCCGCAGGGTCGTAGTCGTCTTGTTGTTAATAATAGAAATGTATGTGCTATTAAAAAAGTCTCGATTTTTCAATAAAAATTTTAAACTGATTTATTAGGTGAGCTTTTTTTACTTGCATATATGTGTTCGACTTATGAGTTGACATTTGTAATGAAAATCAAGGAACGTAATTAAGAGCTGATTTTTATTATGGTAGCTTGTCATTTCTCCGTTTGTAGTTCTTGAAGTAGTTCAGCTTTTCAAAGTTTCAATTTACTTTAATCCTTGTTATCTACTTTAGAATGTTGTTTCACTTATTCCTTCACAGGGTGAAACAGCCGCCTTTGCGATCCCTGTGGATACTGAAATGAGACCAGAACCAGATAGAGAACAGCAATGTTATCCTGGTGAGTATCCATTTGGTTCGCTGCCCGAAATTATAGAATTGTGTGCAATATTTGGTATAGTAATCAGACGTGGAAACGTAAATTTAATAAGGGATTTAATTTTTCATTCATTATCTTCTGGGATGATATGAGTAGGTTTTTGTGTTTTCTTCTCTGTTGCTTTTATCATTTCTCTCCCATAGTTGAGTTATATAAATCTGCTGCTGCTGACAGCATCTACAAAAATAGCCAGCAATAAATAATTCCGCAAAATACATTAGTATATTTAATGACTAAATATAACCATTTAAGCCTTAAAATATGTAATTCTAGTATTACAGAATTCAAAATTGTTAATATATAAACTCTTCTGACAAGTCAGATTTGATTTCTTTCATCGCAAAATCACTGCTTTTAATATAGCTGTTGGTTTTGTCCCACATATTCTTCGGTTTGTGAGAAATCTTTGAAATATCATGTTTCAGATTCTGCAAATCGTTAGCAGTACATGAACTTAGTTCACAATGTAATCTCTTATTGAATCTATGAATTCAGGAATTCAGTTTATGTTTCTTTAAAAGCATTTTTTTGATTTGATAAATGGAGTGGGTGAATCATTTTAAAAGACTATCAATCTAACCATCCATTCATGAGATTTGTACACATTTTGGCTGTATGTATTATACTTTGATTCACTAAATAACAGTACCCAGTTTCTCTACTCCATTTGTTGCTGCGAAGAGACATTAACTTTGATTTTAAAAAGATTAGTTTTACATATCTAACAATTTTCTGTTGATAATTTTATAGTTTTTGAGGGTCATTTTGAGTAATAGGATTGACTTGAATTTTTATTCCAAAGAAATAAGTGTCGTAAGGAAAGCTTGAGCTTTACGGAGAGTGTTGATAGTCATGAAGTTGTATTCCATATTTGTTTTGATTGTGTTTCCCATTTTTTTTAAACCATCTTCGTTCATATTTCTCAAATTTTCCGCAATTTCTACCTCGTTATCTTTGGTACTAAAATAGTCAGCACTGTTAAGTTTGATAAGCTAAAGATACTCGATCGGAGTGATTTTAACTACAAATCTTCAAAATTATTTTAAGGAGGAAAAGAATCAAGAAGTAGAGGAAGTAGATAGATGATAGGGGACATTGTATTGTTCGAGGATACTAGAGGGAGTGGGAAAAGGAAATAGGTGATCGGAGTATATTTGGTACATGAACGAGGAAGAGGAATGAGGGTGACGGAATGGGAGGGGAGATGGAAGGACATGATAGAGATGATAGTGGGTTTGTTTGATTATAGAGTGAGATGGAGATGATGGACTAGACTTTCCCATTCCGGCTAATTCTCTTTCACTTCTACTTTCACCTTCCCTCTTCTCCTTTCTATCTCTTCCCCTCCTTATTCCTCACTTCTCTTCCATCTTTTTTCCCTATCACATTACTCATCAAAAGTTTCTCAGACACTGTAGCAACATCTTCCTGTTTTGTCAAATTTTCTTTAAGACCTGGAATTCTTTTTACTGGGTTTCCTATTACGATTTGTTGCTGTTTTTCAATTCAAATCGGAGATAATGTTGGCAAAGCTGTGAATACTGTGGTAATCCTGGCGGCTTTCATGGATTTAAATTGAGTATTCCCATATTCTCAAAGTTATTGCAAGAGTGTCCATTTTCCGGAATTTATCGTCATTTGTGGCTATGAATGATAATGATTGTGCATTCGCTGATTCTTAAATTGGTCACAGAAACTGGAAGTGTTGTGGAAATACTGTATTGCAGAGAGGGATTGGAAAGGAAATTGATCATGTTGAAAACAAATGGGCTGAAAATGATAGTCTTCTTTTGGGATTGAATGAGAATTGTTTTCTCTCTGCAGGAAAATGTCGGCCGTAAAATTGATTGTGGCAATAACAGGCTCATCAGTTTCCGATATAAATCCTAATATCCTAATACCATGATATCAGAAGCTGAGGACTTCGGAAGATTTATTTGTCTAATTCTGAAAATACCGAAAATGGTAAGAACTGGTCTCGAATTCGAAATTCGTTATGGATTTATGATAAGGGAAATATTCGTCGGGGAGATATAGTATTGAAACAGGGATAGTTTAAGGTGGAATCTTTTGATATTAGAAGGAAATGTTTCAAAAACAGTTGAAGGGTCGTGTTTCGAGATGAAAAATAGGGGAGGTGAGAGCAGACTCGAAGATTTTCTATCGATGTAATAAATTTAAACATTTCGGATGTGGATATTGAATGTATGCAGAAATTCGCGATTGAGGTCGAAGTGGCCTTTACGAAAGTGGCTTTCATGATCGTGGCGCAAATTTAAATACTTGAGTAGTTTTTTTTTTCCTTGTCGTTGCTTTTATATCGCTAGATCTATTTAATGTCTGCTTTTTCTAACCCCTTGCAGTTAAAAATAATCGTGTATAAACCACTGGAAAAAGCCCATGTCATCATCTATTTAACTATTTAGTCTAATTCAACTGTTCGTTATGTAGCAATGGTTTTTCCATATCGACATTCATTATGCTTAATGGACAATTTTAAGTCGTTAACATGTGATTGGAAAATCTGATTTTACTAATGAATGTCTTTGATTGATAGAACTGTTGAATTCTGCAGTAGAGTTAGGCAATCATTATCTTTTGTCTTGGGCTTTGGGATGAGTGTCATGACCAAAAATAGTGAATCGGATGAGTGTCCAGATGAGTGAGATCGGTATATATTTCAGGTGTACATTTTTGCATAAGCTTACATTTTCTTTTCAGACTTAAAAGAGTTTTCAGAAAACTAGTTTTTTGATTCTTTATGATCACCTTGCTATTGTTGAAGTTCAGGAATGGATTTAATTTAGTTTATGGTTAAAGATCTTTTGATCGTTATGATTGGACTATGAGTAATGTTATTTGAAAAAATTTAACACTGTGTTTGCTCCGCCTTAAAAATGAGTTAATTTGCGGTACTTCTCTTCTTGGAAATATTGAATTAATAAAATCACATTCATCTATTTTTCTGTACAAAGTCTTGGTCATCATTTTCTTATCATCGAGTAAGAAATGCAGAAAGAGCAAATCTCGAACAAATGATCATAAAGTTCTCATTTCCAGAAGCAGGTGCTCGTGTTGTTGTGGATACAAAGCCAAGTTCGTCACAGCAGGCATTATTAGATCAATTCATACAGAATGCTACAAAAAATGCGAAATTAAATGGCACACTTGCTGGAATTACTACGTCAACATCTGTTTACACACGGCCAGCACCACAGCTGCAACCTTCCACTAATATCGGAAGTATCACCTGTGGACAGGATAATGTTTTTGATACGGTTTCTTTTTCTTTCTCTTCTGAAAATTATGCTTTTTCATGTGTATCTTAACGTGTCAAGAGAATTTCCATATGTGTGATTGAGTTTTTGCTGAATGTTAGTCTTACGTGTTATCAGTGTAACGGAGTGATGCCCAGATTAAAAGTTTCATTAATTCCAGTTCTTGCGAAATGCTTGGCATTTCGGGATTTTACCTTTTGTCTCATAAGGTTTTTTATTTAATCTTTTTAGAAAGGATTGATCGATGAAAATTTAATACCGGCAAGAGCTGTGAAGATTTTCCCTTCTAAGGCGGATTGCGATGATGTTAGTTCTCAAATTTCTTTTCGAAAATCTTCATCGTTAGATTTTTAAGATAATGATGTCGGAATTTGAGCGATTTTATAATATCTAATAGAAACTTACGCTTGTCTCAAGTAAATATCATAGGAAGCGTGGATACGATAGTGTGTACTCATGATATTGATTTTTTCTATTAGGAAATTATACATGGAGCCTCATAATGGATCTCAAAATCATGCACTGATTAAATAAATAATATTTCATCCATTTAAGGGTGAAGATGCGGGTGAAGGTAATGAACCATTGTATGTGCTAAGTGACGGAAGCAATTTGTCTGAACTGTTGCATGTCGCCAACGATATGGATCTGGCCTTTACATACAATTCTAGGCGGTGATTTTTTTTTTGCTTAATAGATTGAGAAAGTGGTTTACTCTATATTTGGTACGCTCTCTATACTAATAATGATTCATCTATTACAAATCATGAGAGTATCCATAAGAATTTTTAATAGTGCGATTTCTAGAGTCATTTTTTGATATCATATAGCTGACGATGATGTCCTCAGTTTAGGCCATAATCATTTAGTGTTCGCAATGTTGTCAGCACTGTTTGTGAGTCTTATCTTGAAATCGTAACATAAATACTGAGTCTTTGTTATTGTTGCAAGATGTTGAAAGATTTTTCAAATTGGCATTTTCCATTTGTTAAGTATGGGTTGTTTCGTTAATAAAATTATAGGACATGGAATAGTGTGGAATTTTAACCTTATCAGATTTTTAGAACTGGAGAATTTTGTTTTGAATCAAATGCACAAGATATGAGGGGTCGTTTGGTTGTGTTTGCGGATCTCGGAACCAAAGTTGCTGTACGTGAACGTTTCAATGGCAGTGATCTGAGGTAGAAAATATTGATTTAGTTATGATCCTGAGATTAGCTAAGATTAGCCGGTGGAAAGCAACTGTCATTCCAAAGAGTTAAGAAATAAAATCAAATGTTTCTTAACTTTTTGGAATGATTTTTTTTTTTCGTTTAACGAAGTTGAGAAAGTGTGGAACAGACTTCTAATTTATTGCCTTATATACTATATTAATTTTTAATATTTCAGCTATGAAGAATGGAACAAAGCTGATTGGAAGCAGTTCCTTTGGGCAGTACGCGGTAAATGCATGAATGTCCTTAGGGGACTTTAAGTGTGGTGTACACTACTTGGAACGGCCTTATTACTAATGTTTATGTGTTTTTCATCTCTTTATTTGCATATCACTCGAATGCTGTGTGTCAGCCATACAGATTTCTATCCTCGGCACATTTTCTGAAGTATTCGGGTGGTTTGCTGTTAATCAACTTAATTTTTCAGGAAGAAAGATAAACCTTATGCAATAGTTTCGTTTCTTATGCAACTGTCTCGTTATTCTTTTTTTTTTTGTTTGTTTTTGAAGTTTTTCAATTGTTCTTTGGATAAAAATTAACTTTTTTAAAATGCGATATGTTTATCGAATTTATCGGCCAAATAAACATACACTGTTGTTTGTGAAATTCGTCTTAATTTATACCACCGCTCATTTCTTATCAATATTCAGTTAGAATGAATATCTGTTCAAACGGCAATTTTTGAAAAAAATGGCTATCGAAAAATCGATAGTCATCTTTTCGACACTGAAATTATCATTGAAAGAATAGAACAATATTCAAGTAATAAGGTGCATGAATTTGCATATTTGAAATACCTCAAGGCTATTTCAAGTTCATATTTGGGATTGGATAATTACTTACAAAGGTGGCTTAGTGTGATTTAGCCTTTATATTATCCTGCTCTTTACTTAGCCAACATTTGGGATGGAAGGCTTTATGGATGCAAGGTGTGGCAAATGCTCTGGTATGCTGTATCTGATTAAGCCGGATAAGTGAGAGTTAGAATTAGGTAGTAGTGTGACTTTTTAATTAAAGTATTTAATTATGGGAATGCCTTCCTTCGATCGGTACTGTAATTTAGTGATCGTGTTTGTTATTAATTTAGGAGAACTGTTTGAAAGGGTTTTTTCATAATTGATTAGCTACGCAATTTGTATTTTTTCATTCTTCAATAGTTCAATAGTTGGCAATTTCAAAATTTTTATTATAGAAATTGTTAAAAACGATGGCTTCATCGCCAATAATCGTTTATGGCATTGTGATCATTTTCATTGCTCACGTTGTAAAGCAAATATAACACGTGAGTATTACGTAGATGATGGTAATGTCGTGTGTATTACATGTACACTGATACGACCAACAGCTTGTCATAGTTTGTTTTTGTTGTTTTTTTTTCCACTCCTACCAGTCTGTTTTAATTTAATTTTAAAATTGGATCATTTGTCAATTTAAAAAAAAAAAAAGATCTTCGATCATGGAATCATGGAATTTATGAAATTGCTTGGGAACATCTCCATTTCTATTTCAATCTCAAAACGTTGATTTTCCAATCGATCGTCTTACAGATTCCATCATAGTGAATGTAAAGATTCACTTTTAAATTTATGTAAAATTAAAAGTAACTGGAAAAGTGTATAAACTGATTGAGATAAATTGAAATTCTGGCATTTTTAAGATCATTTATTTGTTTATTAATTACAATGATTACAGTTGCATAACAATAATGATTTTATCGTGAAATATCTTCCAATATAAAAATGATAAATAAATAAATGATGATTTTGATTTTGCAATTGCGATTATCAAACCGTACCTTCATATCAGTGCTTTTGTCCCTTATCTAAAATGAGCTAACTGATAAATTTGGCATCAAACAGATGGAATTGGATTTGAAATCGATTTGTATTTTTTCGAGGAAATATTTTCTAAATTATAAATGCATGTTATATTTTAGAATGTGGTTCTATTATAAATGAAACATATTTGGAAGCAATGGGATATTGTTGGCATCAGAAGTGTTTCCTTTGTTATGGATGTAAAAAACCTTTTCCAAGTAAATTCTTCATACTTTCTTTTCCTCTTTTTATCTCTCTTCTCCTTTAGATTATTAATAGAATTTATCCATACTTTTATAAATGTTTTTTCAAATTTTTTCATTTTGCTTTAATCAAAAAGTTAGCTTATACAAATGCATTTTATAAAAATGTCTGCAGAAAGCTTTTCCAACATGAAAGAAATATTTTTTCTTTTTTTTTTTTGTAAATGGAAGAAGCTAAAAGGGTTAATTTATGTTTGCGAACTTATTTTTAAGTTGTTGATGGCTTTAGAATAATAATAATAATAAATCATTCCATTCTGGACTATCGAATTTCGTTTTCAGTTTTTTGTTTGAGAATTTTATAAGTTAGAAGTCAAAATAGAGTAAACATTTGCAGCACTAGTTAGTTCCGGGACTAAAATTTCCCGGAGAAGCAAATTTTATCTTTAACTTTTTCTGTTGCTTTTGTAAATTTTTACTGGTTCAAATATTTTCATCTTTAAATTTGAATTCAATAAATTTTTTCGTTGATGAATTATTGTAGAAGAGTTCTTTGAAGGTGCGAAGTATCGGTTACTGAATGGACATCCTTACGACAACGATTGCTATTGGGGTGCAAGACTTGATGCGCACTACTTTGTAAAATGAACATTTTTTCCAAATTTTGAATAATTTTAAATTACAGGTGGTAAATGTTAGCATTAATTCATTGTCACTAAGTGTTAAATTAAATATTTCAGTTAATTGTCGATTGTGTAATAATTGATGAAATTAGAATTGAACTTTACCGTTGCAGTTGGTACAATCATTTTGAGCTGTAAATATTTCTGTAGATAATAAACTGATCAAATGCTCTTTATGAATTTGAATGAATGTGTGGAAGATATTAGCCATCAGATTATTTCGTTTCTAATGGATTTATCATTTCTTTTAAATCAATTACGGATATTTTTTAAACAAAGTGCAAATTTTCAGGGAATTGTTAAATGGCGTGGTACTCCTTTGGTGTATTGTTTGAAATCTGTAAACGGTTTAATTTTTTTTTTTTTGTAAACAAAATTGGTTGATTTTTAACAACTATACAATATTCATTAGATGTTTCTTTTTTTTTTTTTAGACGATGTTAACAGTTAAAGTTTAAGGAAAGTCTCTCTTTTGGTTAGGCAATGATTATTATTTCCAGTCAATTTTTCGAATAATTTTTAATTTTTATTTCCAAAATATCGACAAATCTTTTGGCAGATATGAAATTGAATAAAATTGTAATTTAGAAATGCAAAGAATAATAAAACTTCATTAAAATCGGGACAATTTGAACATAACGAAATGAATGAAAATGAAAACAATGAAAATTAAAATATTCCTTTCCCTAAAACTTGGCTTCTATATATTTTTAAGCTCTAATGTAAATTTAAATTGAAATTTTCGAAACAAAACTCAATTTCTTTTCACATAAAAAAAAGACAAAAAAAAAGTGATTCCCTCTCTTTTGATATGAATCATTCCATTTAAAAGTATAAATTTAAAGAGATCATCATTTGACAATTTCATCAACCACAGTTATATTTCCATCGCTATCTACAGCACACTTCCAAATCAATGCTTCCAATTTATCACCGTAATCTGCATGATTATTATCATTTCGATAAAATTTTGCTTGGAGCTTTCGTTGCAATATCCTTCCAGGACCCTGAAATTTATCACTATCTAATAATTTCTTACTTAGTTATTTCTAATATTTTTTGTAAATTTTTATCATAAAATTGTAAAAGATAGAAATCTTTTTTTTCCTTTGAAAAGAACATAAAATCACTATGATACTATGATAATTTTCAAGTATTTTATTTAATTTCCAAACGAAAAAAAAATCAAGCAAATGAGAATTTGATAACAGTTCAAGATCTCATGGAATTCAAAACTTTCATATCATTCATCTTTCTTTTTCTCTTGCATCTTCCAATAAGCGCCACAAAAAACTTTTTAAATGTAAGATTAACCTGTAGACAAATACTAATATATTCTCGATTCCTATTAAGGGTCACATCTGTACCGGTTGTATTCCATTCCGTGCTATAAACACCACCACCAATGCTTTCTGGTCGTAACTCCAAAATACTTCCTGATATATGCAACACACTAAAAATGCAAGATGATGTTAATGAAATTCTGAATTTATCGGGTTCACATCACTAATAATTTTCGATCATTCATTATTTTGTTACTGCAATTTGAAATAAGTAATTATTAATAGATGAAATAACATATAAATTGCTGTATCGTTTAATTTTATGAAATTGACCAAATTTTTTTTTTTTTTTTTGGAGAGAGAAAGCGGAATTACATTGAAATAGTTATAATAAAATTCACTTGGGGAAAAAATTGATTAATCCAAAGGCTGTAAAATTTTCAAATTTTAATATTTAAAATGGTTTCTTTGTTTTATTGTCAATATTCAGCATTCAAAGCATAACTTTTGAACTTATGCATGTAAGCAAAAAAAAAAATTTTTAAATCATTCGCAAAAAAAGAAGGAAAAAGATTAAAATTAATAACTGAAAATTGAAAATTTATAGAAAAATCCTTCAAAAGAGAAGAGAGGATTAGGCCATAAAAATGAGGAAAAAAAAAAAGAAAAGCATTACTGAAATTCAATGGGTGGCTTAGTTGTCACAGTAATTTTATAGATAACTTCCGAGCGAAATTTGTATGTTCGAAGGAGTACATCTGACTTTACATCACTTCCTTGCGTTTTCCCAAATCGTTCACCATCCACTTTGAAAGTTATTGGCTCGCCGGTATCGTATTTCCTAAAAATTCCACTTTATATCATATTTCCCGAAAATTAAACTGCCAAATTTTGTAATCAATCTATTGCTCATATTTTCCATTTAGAAATTACTGAAGAGCAAAACGATATGGAAACTCTTTCATATTCCGAAAATTTGAAATGAATTAAGGAAGTTTTCGGAAAAATATTTCTCAAATCATTTCTTAAAAAAGACAAAAATTCCAGTTCAAATAAATGAAAGAGAATTTTTTTTTTTTATATTTTTCGAAGTTTTCCTTTTTCTAAACAAATTTCGACGTTTATATACAATTTTTGTTGTTTTCATTACAATTTCATTCTGTTGACAAAATTCAAACTATAATTACTTTGCAGGGGGAAAAAATAAAAAAAAAAAATGTAGCAAAGAGATTTGTTTTCATTTTCATTACGTAGCTTTAGATTATTTCGATTTTTTGAATTGAAAAAATGTGAAATTTTTTTTCCTTTCAAATAATTAATTCTGTGAATCACTTTGTTGGAAAATGCTGAATGTAGCTGACTCATTAACACGAAATCGCTAATTAGAATAGAATTTAAAAAAGAATAGAATCTAATTAGAATAGAATTTAAATAACGCGATGAAATTATTTAACAATTTTCGGTAAACACCGGAAAGAGAAAGAATGAGACATACGAATTATAGAAGGTTATTAAATGATTATTAAATTAAACAATTTCAAATGTAAATCATTTGACTGAAAAAGTTTTGAACTTTCAGCGAATAATTTCATTTCCCAGCTTTGCTTGTATTTGAAGCGATTTCTCTTAAATAAAGTTGAAAGTTATTTTTGAATATTTTTGCGAAAGTTTAATTTAGCTCAAAAAATGAGGAATATGTTTCATTCAAGTGAGATCAAATTACATCTAAACTATTTGCAAGAAAAAATTGAAGTAACGGAAAATTTGTTAAATTGTGAATGCAAATTCAAAGATTAGAAAAAATTTCCTGACACTAAACTTGCTCCATTACTCTGCTTTAAAAATAAGTTAGCAAAGTATAGAGACCTCAAATTAATAGCTTCATCGTTGATAAGCTGTAATTAATTAAAATCATACAATGAAATCTACAAGCTTTTTTGGATTCCTGCCGAAAAATCAGTAAATACTCAAATGCGATAAAGTTTTTGTTGCATCCAACTGTAATAAAGAAATATGAAAAAAATAAAAGAGCAAAATTTCAAACCATAAAACATTGAATTTAAAAGACAAAGTGAAAAAATTCTTTTCACTGCAGTAAAGTAATAGGTTGAAATGAGTGAAAATTTCAAAATCGAAATGAACTTCACATACCTAATAGTAAATTGCAATTCGAAGCCAGTTGTCGATGACGACGATGATGATGGAAAATTAGCTGTTCTCTTTATTTTAGAATTAGCATCTTCCGGCATTGAA